TGGGGTGGGGTGGTGGTGGGGTGGGGGGGGGTGTCTTTTTAAGACAGGGTCTCCCTGTAGCCCCAGCTGGCCTGGAACTCACTATGCAGACCAGGCTGGCCTTGAACTAACAGAGATCCACCTGGAGTGCTGGGATTAAAGGCGTGTACCACCAGGCCCAGCCCTAGAAGTCCAGTTCTTAGAAGAGGGCTCTTGAGATCACCTTCCCTCTATCATGCCTGGCCTGAAATGTTTGATGCAGGAAGAAGACAGCAGTGCCACACACATGAAATGTCATGCATCTGTCTCTTGATCTCTGATTCTCATGTTGCCTGGTCATGCTACCTCTCTGATATTTCCTATATAACTTGATCTTTGTTTGTAATTACTGTATAATAAGCATTTTAAACATATACTGAATATGTTGTCTTTTCCTTTTCTAGTTTTATTCCCATATACCTGACTTCTGGACAGGGCCCAGATCCTTAAAGACCTTCCTGTTTTCTTACTCTGTAGGTCTGGGGACAGGGACATTCAGAGAATATTTCCTTCCCTTTACTCAGAAAAGAAGCTGCCAGTCATGTGTTCATTATCAGGAGTAGGCCTCATTGAGGATGGAGTGTATTGAGCAAATATTATTATTATTATTGATTTTTTTTTTGTCTATTTGAGACAAGGTCTCCCTGTAGTCTCAGCTGAGCTGAGCTCATTATATAGACCAGGCTGGCCTTGAACTCACAAAGATCCACCTGCCTTTGCCTCCTAAGTGCTGGTACTAAAGGCGTGCACCACCACGCCCGGCCAAGCTTATTATTATTAAGACAAGATCTCCTTTTATAGCCCTAGCTAGCCTGAAACTCATTATGTAAACCAGGCTGGCCTGGAATTCACAGAGATCCTCCTGCCTCTACCTCCCGAGTACTGGGATTAAATGTATGTGCCACCATGTCTGGCTTGGGCAAAGTTTTTGAAAAATACTTTCTTTGTAAAAATATTTTATTTATTATTATTTTTATTTTATGTGAATGAGTATGCATGTATGTACATGCACCTGTGTTTTGCAGTGCCTGCAGGGGCCAGAAGAGGGTGTTGGATCCCCTGGAACTGGAGTTAAGGATGGTTTTTAGCTGTCATGTGGTTGCTGTGAATTGAAACCAGGCCCTCTGCAAGAGTAGCCAGTGCTCTTAACTACTGAGCCATCTCTCTAACCCCAAAAGCACACTTTCTTTTTTTCTTTTTTTTTCCTTTTTAAATAAATAATTTATTGAGAATTTCATACATGCATATAAGGTGTTTTGATCAAATCCATGCCCACTCCCTCCCCTTCAACTCCTCCCATATCTCCCCATCACTTCAAAAGCACACTTTCTTAAGCTCTGTCCCTAGAGTCCCATTTAGGAAGTAATGCAGTAGCATCTAAGAGTCTGTGTTTCTTAAACTCTCTAGGTAATTCTGATATCTTTCCTGACAAAGAATCACTGTATTCCACATAGGAATGCATGGAGATCCATTTGATTACAGTTTCATTCAGTATATTTACTTTGTGTGTGTGCAAGCCTTTGTGTACCAGGCAGAGACTCATAGTAGTAGAGTTTTATGGGGTTTCAGTATGAAACAGTGACAGATTCTTTGCTTCATGGAACTTACATGTGTATACATACAACAGATAAATGCAGGTATTTATGAATATATATAAGCTGTTCTTGCAACTGGAATGCATAGGTCTTGTAGGAGTGTTAATTAGTGTAAGCAGGTGGTGGTTTGTTCTGAAAGAGATACATGCTCCTTTGTGCTTCTCTTTGCAGATCCTCAGCACTCTTGTTAAAGGAACACACAGACCTGTGACCTGTAAGATCCGAATCCTGCCATCGGTAAGGGTGTGTGTTAGATTTGAGGGTCCATTCTCTTAGGTGATGGTAGACTTGGGGGGTGTAAATGATTCATGAGGCACTGAATTTTAGGTATAGAGTGTTGGAGTTAACCCACTTTAGGAGTCAACAGCAGCTCCCTTGTGGCCTGAGTAACCACCTTATGCTGTATTTTTCCTCAGCTAGAAGATACTCTGAGTCTTGTAAAGCGGATAGAGAGGACTGGCATTGCAGCCATTGCAGTTCATGGGAGGTGAGTGGTTGCCTTCCTTGTGACTGATTGGCAGGGACATTTCTCAACCATTTTCATGTCCTCAACAGATCCTAAGTGACAAGCAGCTTCTCTGTGTATTTAGCCTACCTCTGTGTAGCTTTTTATATCCTGTGAATCTAGAGAACATTCAAATAGTACATGGGTTTGTGTTTGTCTGTGTTTCATTCTGAGTGCCTACTGGGGGTAGGCACAGCTCCAAGCATTAAGAACACAATTACCTGCAAGATGTGTAAGTGGTAGAGATGGTGCAATTTGCTCAAAATTGTATCACAGAGCCAGGAAGTGGTAGAATTAGAATTTTGAATCTTGTTTTCTTTTTCTTTCATAATTTTTTTTAAGTGCTGGGGACTAAATCCAGGGCCTTGTACATGTTAGACAAGTGTTCTACCACTGAGGTATAACCACTGAGGTATAACCCTAGTCCGTTTTCTTTCTTTTTTT